GGAAGTAGTGTATAGGAAAAGTATATGAAGTATATTTTGGTTTTAGGCACTGGGCACTGTGGTGAAGCTCATGTATAAATGCAAGAGAAAAGAGTTTAATGATAACTAAAACTGTCAGGTAGTTGTTAGTTTTGTATTTACCACAAAAATTATATTTAATACTCCTGTATTTTCATGGTTTTAGTTCACATATTTGACTTTAGACCTCCATGTAACAATGCTGCATTTTCAGTGCACTTAACATGGTGACTCATGTCGCATGAAATTGCTTAATTTAACTCAGATGTTCAAACTTTTCCATTTATTCTACTTAGCATTTCAACCTGATCACAATCTCCAGGTATTAATTCTTTCAATTTCTGGGAGACTCAGGCTAATTACCAGAGTGCTAGGAGGGTTAGTGACCCTTCCTCCATGCCACTTGATACTATTGCTGCAGGTGGGAAGCAAGCCATCACCATGCTGGGTCTCTAATTCCAAGACTTGTGAGGAAGTACAGGAAAGTCTTGTGACTGACCATCTCAAAGGCTGTTGAGAGATCAAGAAGGATCAGGAGCACAGATAGTCTGACTGACCTAGCAGCATGAAGCTTTTAAGTAACAGCCACAAGAGCAATTTCTGTGAGGTTTCCTGCTTTGAAGCTAGAATGGTTAGGGTTCCTTTGGAGGTTATATTGTGTGAGACAGAGAGACAAGTAATTGTAAACAACACCTTAATAAAATTTGGAGAGAAATGAAAGAAGTGACATTAACAGTTTCCAAGGTGTGTGTGTGTGTGTGTGTTTTGTTTTTTTTTCAAAAATGGACATGACACTTGCTGTGTTAAAGGCAGTGTGTACATGATGTGGAGTTACTTACGATGAAAGTGATGAACGGGAGAAGGTTCTTGGGAGATAGTCTGGAGCAATGTGGATGGGATGGGTTCTAGCAGACAACTGGTAAGATTTCTGGATGAGAGAAGTTGCCAAATCTCTTCTACAGAAAGAGGAGAAAAGCTTATAAAGGAGTTGGAGGTGGTAGTGTAGTAAAAGTGTTAAGAGGGAAAGCTTGGCAGATCTTGTTAATTTTCTTTTCAAAGAAGGTGGCATCAGCTGGTAGAGACTAGGGTGAAGGATGAAGAGGAGGATTAAGAAGTGAAGTCAACATGTTATTGAGCTCGTGGCAATCACATATGGGTGCTTCTAGCCTTCCCTTGTAAAAAGGACGAGAGTGAAAGGATGATCTGAAAAGTGGTTATGTTAATGTCTAAACTGGGGACTGTTGGCTGAAGATCAGTATGAATGAAGCTCTTAAACCTTATTCTTAATTTTCTTAGTTAAAAGTGAAATGTAGGAGTTAACTGTAAAAGTAAATCTTAAGCATCAATTACAACAGTGGCATTGCTGTGAATTGTTCAACCACAGCCCTTTTCCATAGCTTGATCCAACAGAAGTTCAGAAAATGTATGCTCTATATCTAAGACTGTTGTGTGTTCACAAAATGCTAATACAAACATTACTGCTAATGGTATTACTAATACTGATGTTTTTACTAATAATAATAGCAAGTATGTTCATGTTTCATAAAGCAAATATACATATTTCTGTTACGTCCAGGAAAAAAAAATGCACTTAATTAGCTACAGTTTCATTGCTAACAGATTTAACATCACTGTGATCAAGGACACCCAGTTACAGCTACTCTAAATTTACTAAATGGTGTGTTTGGGGTTAAGCCTGTTTTAAGTGATGACATCTAATTGTTCTCTATTTAAACACAAACCCCACTGGAACCCAATACTAACCATAGAACTGACTTAGAAGAAAGAAAGTACAGCACAAAGGGCATATTTGGGTTCCACCTGAATAGTCAGTGTAGAAAAATGGTTTGCCAGGAGATGGTAGAGGCAATTAATGCTTTGTATCCAGCTATTTCCGGCACCACAGGAGAGTGTGCAAAAAATTTGGACACAGATTGCAGCATGTAAAAAAAAATCACAAGAAGCAGAGAAGTGAAATAGTCTGTTATTTCCATGTCCAACACCTGCCTGTATTAATACACATACAGAGAGATTTAATATAGCTTTTGGCATTGCTTTTGCTATGGGATGAGCAGGACTTGTTGGCTGAAATGTTAACTCTATAATTCCAGCAGAGCCATTACAGGTGTAAAGACTTCCCAGGACCCATAAACACAAATAATTCTGTATGTTATGTGGTTAGCATGTGAGTAAACACTGAGTAATCGGCTAGGAATGGAAGCAATCCACATATTACATGCTGTGTTATTTTTGAGCTCTGATGAACAGAGCAGCCGGATGACCACATGCGGCACGTCCTAAATGGCCTCAATCAGCTGTTGTTGCAGTGTATTTTATAGTGTTGCTGGAGAAATTTGATCACTGATTAAATCTCTTTATGAGGTCTAGATCATCAATCAATTGTCTCAGTGTTACCACTTTTTGCTGTTCTTAACAGTTTGAGACATATCTGAAGTATTGTTAAATACTCACCCATTTAACAGTTTTTTTTTTTTATTTTATTTTAAGAATTTTCGTACATTGCTGCCAATCTTTGGACTTCTGTATAGAAGTATATTTTCTGATTTCTAAGAATGTTTTGGCCCTTAATATCAGAATTCTACTCTCAATGACTTTATACTTTATACATACCAGCCCAGGTCCAGACCTGTCAGAGGGCAGTTGTTGAAAGTCAGATGAAGAGAGGAACAAGGCAGGAAGAGTGGAGCTTGCCTGAGAGAAGCTTGACGTCACTTAAGAGAGTTAGTGAAATCCCGTTACAAGGGAAGAGACTCAAGAGACTTTTCAGCTCTTCTGTGAAGTATCTCATGGGGCCAGGTGGGTGATAGATAACAATAATATGAAGATAACAGTAACAGCATGGAATTCAAATGATTAAATGTTAAGGTGAGAAAGTGCATGAGGTGTGAAGTGCCATTTCTGAGACAGAAACAAGCCTGTGCTCCCACCCCCTGTGCTCCTTGTGGAGTGTGAGGGGAAAAAAATCATAGGCGAAGGACAGAACAGGAGGTGTTGCAGAATTCTCTGGAGTGATCCAAGTCTCCCTGAGCGCCAGGATGTGGAGAGAGTGAAGAGAGACTGAAGCTCAGATGAAATCAGCTTCTGAACAGCACGCTAGTGCTTCCATAGCCACGGTTTGAGATTGAGACAACAGTGAAGGGTGGATGAGATAGTCTGCAAAACAAACACAGCATATCCAACACAGATTGTGTAACTATAACACATATTTGTTCTAGAAATCTGAACAAACTGCTTGTGTTAAATATATAAGGACGAAAACACATGGGGATGTGCTGTTAGAGGGAAATTATTTTCCAATAACATCACATCCCGAAGCATTTTATTCCGCTTATACCATATTATTTTGTCAGTGTTTCGAATTTTTATTTTATTAATGATCAACGTGTACATTTTATCGCTTACATTATTGTAGTTATAAACGGTTGTTTCCTCACCAACCTCTCTTTTTTTCCCTCTCTCTTGAAGAAAAAAGCAGCTTTGTCATGTTACTAAGGAATTAGAAATCACAAAGACTTCTGCAGACATGGCGGTGGAGGAAAATATATTTATGGTTACAAAGCGCTGAAACTGGAGACACCTTCCACCTAATGTTAAATAAACATCTCTTTACTGAAAGCTTCACCATATCAATGATCATACTTTTTTTTTTCTTTTTTAAATAACAGCATGCTTATCCATTACTTGTGAAATAATCATGTATTAGAACGAGTGCATTAATATAAACATGTGATTTGAATTGAAGCAGGAACTATTGAACTATTGTATCTGACCAATCAGATGCAAGAATTCAATTGCACTGTGGTGTTCTTGTTGTTTATTGAGATATTTTTGAGATATAAAATATATTGTATATTCTATTGAGATATTAAGGTGCTATCGCTTTTGAATTTCCTTTCCTACAGGAGACATTTTTGAATCATCAACACGCACTTCACATTTCTGTATGCAAATTACCATCTCACATCAACTAGAAAACACTACACAGGATCCATTCAGAGATCGTATTAGTGTTTAACTAACTGCAAAACAAATACCAAGTGAAGCGAAGTAATTAACTAGCTTTAATCGTTGTGTTTTACGGTTAAGGATTTCACTTTCTATGCAGTACAATACACCGTTAATGAAGGGCCGTCACTGAAAGCAACAATTTTATTTGCGAAACTGTGTTTGCTTTGTTGCTGAACATCTGCTGTGTTTTCATGAAGTGAGGCTCCAGTAGGAGAGCTGGAAGAAATAAAGAAAGGGAACAGCAGACGGTGAGTGCCTGGGCCTAACTGTTGTAGCCTGAGGCACACACACTCACTTGTGACAGGTGGTCAGTGTGACTATAGGTTCAGTGTAAATGTAAGTCATTAATGAATCATCAAAAAATAACAGATTTATTGTGTAATCAGGAAACAAAGCAACTGAATTTGTGGAGATACAGCATGGCCCACGCAGCAGGTTCATCTCTGTAACACAAAATTAATGTCAGTCACAGGAACTTTTGGAAAAAATAATACAGCACGCTCTACATGTGGTTCCATCAGCTGCTGTTTTGTTGAATATTCTAAAGAGGTGACGTCATCAAGAGAGCTGTACAAAAACACATACACACACACACACGAAAGTGAGTGTACCCTTTTGGCATTCAGCTGCAGAAGTACTACTGTTTCCTTACTGTTTGCACATCATACATTTTTACTGATGGCTGAGCTGCCTTACGGGTTAAACTGTAGAATCTTCCATACAGCCAGTGAATTATTTAACAGCATTCAAGGCATCTGAGAATATGTCGTCGTTGTTGTTCCTCTTTCGGCTGCTCCCGTTAGGGGTGCCACAGCAGATCATTGGTCCACATTAGATTTGGCACAGTTTTTACACCGGATGCCCTTCCTGACACAACCCTCCCCAGTTTTATCCGGGCTTGGGACCGGCACTGAGAGCGCACTATTGCATGCAACCCCAGTGGCTGGGGCTGGTTCAAAGGGCCGGGAATCGAATCCGGGCCACAACAGTAAGAGCGCCGTGACCTAACCACTAGTCCTCCAGCGACCCGCATCTGAGAATATAACTACCAAAATAATCATGATTTTGTTCACCAAAAATATAATCTGTTAGATATTTTTAATTCAAATTCTTTTTTAAATATTCACCAGAGGGAACTGAAATCTAACAGCCAGTTATCTGACAGCAAGTAACTAACTATCTTACACTATATGGCCAAAAGTATGTGGACACCTGACCATCACATCCATACAGGGGTCTTCCCCGCACTGTTGACACAAAGTTGTCTAGGATGTCTTTGTATGCTTTTAACATTTCCCTTCACTGGAACTAAGGTACCTAGGCCAAACCTGTTCCAGTGTGACTGTAATAAATGGATTAAAGATGTTTATTTAACATTTTTGGAAGGAGTCTCCAATGTCAGCACTTTGTAACAGTCAGAGGTAAAGCTGTACCTTCCACCAAGGGGAATTCTAAGAATGGAGGATGTTTATTGGTAACATGGTGCATTTTTTTGTCTTATCAACATAGTTAGAGAGAGGGAAAAAAAAGAAGCCGTTGAGGGAACGATGGTTTATAGTAGCTGCTTCACTGTAGTAATAACAGGAACTAACTTCTCTCATGGACATTCAAAAACATTGAATTTATGCAGATAACAACATCTCCCGAATGGCACAACAGAAAAGCTTTTGCCCTATTGTCTGAAGTTCACGAGTTTGAATCCTGATGATGCCACAGCCATCCGTGACCGGGAGTCTAAGAGAGCAAAATTGGCCATGCACTCTGTGTGGGAAGGATCTCTCTCTCTCTCTCTCTCTCTCTCTCTCTCTTCTGTCAATCACAGTGACTCTAGCCAATCGTGAACATCTGTGACCTCATCCATGTGGAAGGGATTGAATAGCGGTTTCCACCGAGTGTGTTACGCTGCCCTCTGACACAGCATGAGCAGTAGTTCAAAAAGATGAAAAGATGCAGTTGGCTGGCTTCACGTGTCTCTGAGGATGCTCGTGATAGCTTTCACCCTCCCTGGTTGGTAGCTGTCGTATGGTAGGTGAGACCTGACTGGTAGGTGGAAATTGACCAAAAGTCAATTAGGGAGAACATCTGGGGAAAAAAGATAAAAAAAAAAAAGTAAGACATAATTTTTTAATATAAAAATGTTAGCCAGTGTGGTATAAGACATGCTGTTATTGGAAATTAATCAGCTTAGGGGAGGTAACAGTGACTTTATGACAGGTCACTGTTGATTGTTATCCTATCCCCCCTAAGTGTTTTCTTTCTTACTGATTCTTTAAGCTCACACATGAATAATCATATGAGATGGGAAGACTGACCGAAATGACATGAATTACACCCAAAAGAAACAAACAAAAGCAGGGTTGTTTGCATAAATGCACATATTGTATGTAAGATTTTGAGATTCACAGGTTTTCTTTTCAGCCATAACCATGCCCTCGGGCTGCCAATTTCATCTGACAGCAATCTGTGAGATTTTACTGCCACTACCTATGTAGCTGTTAATCTGGCACTCCAGTAATACCTTTCTTATCATCAAGAACTCACTCTAAACCCTACTGAGAGCACAAGCACAGAAATCACATGTGCAGCACAGCTAATCACACACACAGCAGCTATATGGTGTGTTATTCACCCGCCACCACTACCAATTTCTATCACACTATGGAAAATGAGCAAGGGGGAGGGAGTTATGGAGGGCGCAAGAGGAAGCAAGATTACTTTGGTCCTTTTCGTTCAACACTTTAGTAAGAGCCACTGTAGAAGCATGACAAGAAAAAGTCCCATCAATAACAGCAACGGGGTATTCCAGCATGTGATTTCACTGTGTAAAGCGCATGAGTCAAAAGGCCATGCAGTGTTATAGCATTCATTTTCACAGAAACAGCATGGCACATTATTATTCTTTCCCCTGCCTTTCTGCTGCTGCCTTCCACTAGAATCTATTTCTCTTGGTGCTTAGCTTAGCGGCACAAATTCTTTATTCAAAAAGCCATAGAAATGGGCTCCAAAGTGGTGCAGCTTTCTATTATTGGGAGATCACATGGCTGGGAGTTCATACTTGTCCTGCTTTTACATGATGGAAAGATGGTCAAGAGTGACACTAGCATTTGCTAGCTCACATAGAGAATGGAGCAGTTAGCAGAGCTAGCTTTATGTATTAAAACAAAGAGCTTTAATATGTAAAAGGGGGGTCCTCTGGGTTCTCTGGTTTCCTCCCATCTCCCAAAAAACATACCAGTAGGTGGATTATCTACGTCAAATTACCCCTAGGTGTGGGCATCACATTCAGTTGTATAGCTACTTGACATTTAGTATTCCCAAGATAGACTCTGGCTCAAGCACAACCCTAACCACCTCTGCAAAAAAATGACAGCAAGTTAAAATACCTTGAATACAGTCAAAATGATCTAGCATATACTATTAGAAGATTACAATGAAGCAAATATAAGATTATATTAAGATTATATTAAGCCTATTTCTAGACTTTTTTTTTCCTTTTAAGCTTGAAATATTCTTGTTCTATTGGCAGATAATTTTGCTAATTTTAAGCACTTATTTCTAGAAAGGAACAAATAGTAAAAAATAGTAGATTGATTTGACTATATATTCAAGATATTTTCACTTGCTAAGATGTCATTTTTTGCAGTGAGGATAAAACGGCTACTGAAGATGAGAATGAAGAATGAATTAAATACACAATATGGTAAAAAGTTTGTGGACACCTGACCATCACGCCCATATGTGGTTCTTCCCCAAACTGTTGCCACAAAGATGGAAGCACACAATTGTATAGAATGTCATTGTATGTTGTACTTTTAAGATTTCCCTTCACTGTAGTTAAGAGGCATGGCAGTGCCCCTGTACACAAAGCGAGCTCCATGAAGACATGGTTTGCAAAGGTTGGAGTGGAAGAACTCAAGTGTCCTGCACAGAGCCCTGACCTCAACCGCACTGAACATCTTTGGGATGAACTGGAACACCGACTGCACCCCAGACCTCCTCGCCCAACATCAGTGCCTGACCTCACTAATGCTCTTGTAGCTGAATGAACATAAATCCCCATAGCCACAGTCCAATATCTAGTGAAAAGCCTTCCCAGAAGAGTGGAGGTTATCATAACAGCAAATGGGACTAAGTCTGGAACAGGATGTTCAAAAGCACATGGGTGTTATTGTCAGGTGTCCACAACCTTTTGGCCATATACTGTAGTGTATCTCATGATATTATGAACTGGTTAAAGTTAGAAAAATAAAGTACACCATAAAAAGTGAAAGAATAGTTAGCAACAGTGGGTTTAGTTCTCTTACATATGATTACATTATCTGTGTCAGAGAAGGGATCATTTCAGCTAGCATCATTTCTGTGGTACCATAAAATGTAGCATGTAAGATGGAGTAAGATTCAGATTATTATGTTTGGTACTGGTAAATATGATGTTGGGTGTAACATGGTGGCCCCACCCACAGGCCACAAGAAAATGTGATGTTTTGTACACTTTTTGGCCACAAGCTTCAGGAGCTTATTGGCTATTTTTGCTTTTGTGTATGCACAATTCCTTTGGCTGGTTTCCAGTGGGAGAACAAACTTTTGAACACCACGAAACAATGAAATTTTCATAGCAATATATAATCATGGGATGGAAAAAAGTTCACAGAATCCTGTCTTTAAAGGTTTCTTTAAATCAATAAGTGGCAACTAGTCAGTCAGATAACCCTGTGTTTGCTGACGAGTTAGTGGAAAAAGTCTGTGGTTGGTCATCCACCATGTCAGTCAAGTAGGCGGTTCTTGTCCCCAGAACATATCAGACTCTCTAGTGAATGCTGAAAGTCTGGCTTATGAGACTGGTACACAGCTAATTTGTGTTTCCATGTTGAACAGTATTAAGAAAATCAAAGTGTTGCGAGAGTGCTATTTAATAATTAACACTCCATCTATATTTAATTTTTTTCACTTATTTTACTCGATTTTTCTCGTCACTTACTTTACCTTACTTGTTAGTTACATCAGACTTATTGGTTCGGTTTAACTAAAGAAGCAAATGTCAGAGACCAACGTCTTTTGACTGCTGTACCATATTTTAGAGACATTATGGACTCTTCATTTTTTGGTGGCTTTTCATTTGAATGGAAACAAATCCACAGTGAGAAAAGAAATGCTGATTTAAGATTGTTTCAGGATCTGATGTGGGTTTCAGTTTTCCTGCCAAGTCGGAAGAGAAGAGACACATGAATATTCAGCTCTCTGTTTTCATCCATATGCAATTACGTTGTTGATGGTGCCATCCGAGCCTATTTACATGTTGATTTAAAATAAGAGTAAAGGGAAACACACATTTGCACATTAAGAGGTGGATTTGCATGTCCCAGTTCACCATACAGTATGTGGTAAAACGAGTGTGTGCCTGTGTGTGTATACAGTATATAGAGGTAGATATAGATAGACTTTTGGTAGTGTGCAAAAGTCACATTTTGGTAGATATAGGTAGACTTTTCAGACTTTTGGACTGAGCTATGTGTACACATAGCTCAGTCCAAAAGTCTGAGGCCACATTGAAAATCTGTTTATTTGTTGTTGTTTTTTTATTTCATTTAAAATTGGAAATAAACAGAAGGTTTTAGAATTTTGAAATATTTAAAACAAACAAATGTTCAATATCTTGAATATGTAATATTCAAGAGTGTACTATTTCTAGGTCCCTGTTTAAATGTGAGCAAATGTGTGGTATTGACCATGTTAACTGCTTTGTACTAAAGGTCAGATTTTCCTCATGTCTAATCTCTTCTATTGAAGCATGTGTTCAAACAACATGGACTTGATCTAAAATGGGTCATAAGGTTTTGCAAAAACTTGTGGAGTCCATGCCAGCTCGAGTGCACACTGTAATTAAAGCAAAAAGGGGATGTACCAAATACTAACAAACTCTGAAATTCATTTAAATATTTCAAAGATTCTACTTTTCACTCAAGTTGTTGTCAGTAATATAATTTGTAATGAAATTGTTGTATTAAATTAGAAAAGAATGCAATATA